CATTTGCAATCTGCTCTGCTGACTCAAAATGCCTGTGGAATATCACCCTAGAGAATACACATTCTACTGAATACCAAGTACCTTTCATATAGGCAATAGTATTTCCCCTCTCTCTCCATGGTAGGTATTTCAGCTCAGTTCCTGGGAATGCTTCAGGAGATGCATTCATCATCTGGCTGAATAATTCAGCCTATGGAGATGATATATTTCCTCCCCTTTCCTCGAACGCATTGCTTTAAAATGCATAATACTGTTTGCACAATAATCTTTCATCTTGCACAGCCAGCCATGATACAGAGGTATTTCTGTGGCAGCTTTGCCTTTGATGCTGGATGGCATCAAATCTAATGGATGGCATTGTAAGGCAAGGAAATAATATTTCCTCAAGTGGAAAGCTGTATGTATTATTTAACCAGCACCAGCCTTGTGTGGACCACTTCTTCCCTCAGGGAAAGGACACAGGCTGGCTCTCCCAGACCTTTGGTATCCCAGAAACAATGTCAGATTTTCTTGGGGTGCTACAACAAAGATCCTTCCCATGGTGGCTTAGGGAAGGAGGGGCACGGGAAAGGCTTGGATTTAAAGGATCCTTTGAGTACTCCAACCTTCCCGGGGGCTTTGTGAGGAACAGGTTTCTGTGTGCCAAGAGCTGATGGCAGTGAGACAGGAGCTGAGGGCAGGGAGCCTCTAGATGTCACTGCCAGACAGCAGAAAGGGACCCAGAGCCACAGCGGGCTGGGGACATTGCGGTGGCACAGCTGGCAGCAGGGACACAGGGTGGCAGTGGGCAGCCTGGTGGGGGGCATTGGGAAACCTGCTGTGAAGAGGCTGCTGTGCTTTGGGGCTGCCTTCCCCAGGGCTGAAAATGTGCAGCTCTATTGCAGGGTGGGACCAGGTGCGGGGAATGCAGCCAGAAATTGCAGCTTCAGGTGTTTCATGTGAGGAATTGCCAGGTAAGACTGAAATGTTTCAGTTGCAGCCCTGCAGCAAAGAAATGCTAAGGACAGGTGCTAAGGCTGAGCTCCATAGTGCCAGACAGAGCTGGCACCCCCCACCCAATGGGGAATGATCCCAATATTTGTCTGTGCCCCTGCTGAGCCACCTGGACATGGGGAGGGGTCTCTCTTGAGAGAACTTCGTCTGCTTCCTACTCAGAGAAGGACAAGCACCTCTTTTGAGAAAGGGTCTGATGTAATGATCACTTCAAGCTAGGTTTTATAAGCTCTTGGAGATCTGTATCACACCCAAGATGGCTCAGCTACCTCAGATGGCATAAAATTAGCGGGATGGCTTCTGTGGTAGTGTTGGAAACAGAAAAGTTTTAATAAAAGGCAAAATAACAAAGCTCTTTACAGAGAAAATCTGCGCCAGGTGCAAGAGGCTCTTGCTCCTGGTAAAACACCTCACAAAAAACAATTAGTTCCTTTGTTCTCTTCTTTTTCTAGTAAATTGCCCTGGTGGGACTTTTGGCTCCTGTCCAGTTGGCTATCTTTAAGTTTGAGGTGAAGTCCCCAAGATCCTATGAGGTGTCTTTTTACCTAATTGAGGAGAGAAACTTCAGGGCTTTTTTCCTTTATAAAGAGACAAAGGATAATTTTGTCACTCTGTATTCCTGCAGGGGTCACCATCCCACTGTGGGCAGCAGCCAGACCTGAGCGTTCCCAGGCACCGCTCCAGGCTGGTGTTCCTCCACTGGAATACCAGTCCCTCACTGCTGCAGCCCTGCTTGAGTCAGGCCTGTGAGTCTGCAGCCCACAGCCAGGACATTTGCTGTGGCATGGTGTTCCCTGCTGAGAAACAAAACCAAAAATCATGAGTGCACACCGTGAAGTGCACAAGGCTGCTCAGAGACAGGGTCTCACCCAGCTTTCCCCTCTCCAGCCATGTTATGGAATAATGATCCTTTTTCTTTTTTTTCCTTGGAAATTTTTATCGTTTTTCCTCTATAAATTGCAGCAGCAGTTTCTCTGTGAGAGACCCGAGGCACAGCCCAAGGTGAGAGGGAGGTTCAGTTGCTCCAGACCTGGCCATGGACAGCCCCAGTCTCCCATGCCACAACAGCAAGATGTGTTCACTGAGGTGTGGGCATCAAACCACAGCCTCCAAGGTGCCTGGGAAGCCTTGACCCAGGCTGCTTGCTCAGGAAACAGGCCCTGTAGTAGTGAGATCATGTGAGAACTTCCTCCTCTGTCCATCTTGGCATGATTTGGGCACAGCCTTTGGCAGGCAGATGTAAGACATGGGTCTCAGGAGAAGGCCAGTAAACAGGAGGGCTCCAAGATCCAGAGATGCAGAGATTATTCTTGCTGGGTCAGCTGTCAGCACTCTGCACCAAAGTCCTTCTAAAGCTGAGGCTTGGCTTAGATCCTACCTAATTTCATCAGCTCTATATCCCATCTCCTGTGCTAGGGAGTTGAGCATCACTAATCTCATCTGCCTCAGCCTGCTTCTTACCCTCTTGAGGGCTTTAGCCTCATGAAGGTTTAAAAATAGAGCATTTGTTTGAGGTCCTTCTCTTCCATTTCTAACAGCAGATTCTCTTAGGGTTTTTCAGACTTGTGTCCCTGAGGACTAGGAACTGATTTTAATCAAAAAAATTAGAGAGGATATTATCATAATTGGATGAATCTCTGAGCCTTCACAAGTGCCAGAAACCTCATGGGGACTGCACTCACATTTCAGAGCTGGCAAACACAGATGAAGGGGCCTGAAGATTTTAATAGGGGCACCATCCCCATAAAGTTGGCCTTCACAGCTTAATCACACAAAGATGAAATGTAGAAGTTTTCTCTCTTTATCTAGCACCCCACTGATCTGAGCTGCCTTTGTTTTCCGTGCTGGCCTCAGGATTTGTGAAATGTATTAAGCTTCTTGTTGCTTTTGGAAATAAGAGTCACCACTGTATTATGGCCAAATCATTGCTTTTCTCCCTTATTGACCTTTTTTTTTTTTTTCTTCAGGCTACCAAACACCCTTGACTTTGTTTGTGGGATGGTTAATCAACAAGTCTGTCACAATGATGGATTCCTCCTGAATTGTTGCTTAATTAGCTTGGTTGGAAGTATAAATCAAGTGGAATACCAATTCTTCCAATGCCACAGACAGGCAGCCATGCTCAGCTTGACAGCAGTGAGTTATTACTCTGCCCCAGTGCAGGATCAGCCTGCAGGCACCAGCCTGCAAAGCCAGAGGGGCCGTGGGTTGGTCCCTGAGAGCGCAGGGCCACACACAGCTGGGTGAAGGGCTGGTGGGATGGAGCTGAAGGTGGCCTCTGTGCCTGGGGACACTGCCCAGAGCACCAGCCCCAGCAGCTGCCCACAGGGAGACAACCCATGGAGAGGTGATGTTTCTCACCAGGGGTGCCTGGTGGCTGTGCCTGCTTTTCAGTGAAGAGGAGACATTTCAGTTTGTGGCCAGGCTGAGATACGAGACAAGGATCTTTGTCTCCTGACAGGCAGAGTTGCCTTCCACAGAAAGGCAATTACGCATCTCAACAAAAGGAGAAGTAATACACGGGCTGCAAATTAAGATTTTTGAGATTAATCTTAATGGCTTAGTATTTTTAGAGATGAGACTTTCACACAGCAAGAATTTAAGTATTTAAACCAGTTGACTTGAACTGAATTTTGCAACTTGAACAGAGATGACTTCTCTGTAGCTACAAAGAGCTTGTTCCCAGCAGGTCTGAGCCATCTTGAGCACCACTGAACTGTGTGGTGGAAGTCATCCAGAAGTACTTGAAGTTTTTTAATTATCCCAGGCTAAGCTACATAAACCTTCCTCTGAAATGATCCTACTAATAAACCTTTTTAGCAAAGCTTATTTATTTTTCCATGGCCCCCTTTTTATCTTCTCTCTTTGCCACCATTTGCAGAGGGCTTAATTAGTGATTAACGATTTCAGGTGGGATGTGTAAGTCCTGCTTGGCAGAAAGAATCAGTCTGTTCAAAAATTACTGAAAAAAAAAATTAAAATAGTCTAATTTTACTGATCTCTAATTTCCAGTGGAAGAGTGGGTTCAGTGGCCCCTCTTGCCCAGGATGTACCTAGCTGAGCAATGCTCTCCAAGCTGGTGAGCGAGGCAGTGGCACAACACAGACTGTCCTCATGGAAACAGAGATCTGTCCATGATGATGTTTCCATGATGCAACCTCATGGTTGCATCTTTACCTGGTGATGTAGTTGTTGCTCCAGTGTGCAGCATCTCCCTGGCAAATGGGTAAATCTGTTGCTAACGTGTGGATGCCTCAGTGGAAACCTGGGCAGAGGGTCTGGGTGAGGCATGGTGTGAATTATATTGCCATGGCAACCTGGGATTTCTTTCATCCATTGACATTTGCATCCTTCTTTTTTGGCATTTTCACAAATAGAGTCTTTTTTTTTTTTATTTTTTGATATATCTGAGTGGAATAGATCACTAAATTTGCTGTTAATGACATGATGAAAAAGTATGAAAGTGAAGTTCATGTGTGGGTACAGAATGATTACAGTTGTTTTGCAGGTTTAAGTTAAATTTTTGAGCAGGAATTATGTCTGAAGAAGCCCTACATTTTTAAAGACATTAGGACGAAGGAAGAGAATGCAGTTCAGATAGACTTTTCTACTCCCAAACAGTCCCAGTATAGATTCTGGAAGTCAGAAAAAAGCAATGAACAATTTGTTCTATATCTCTAATATGCTACCCAATTTCTGTAGCAAATAAAATGGAATCCCTATAGTTGAAGAACTCAAAAATGCCTGAGACTTTTTTTTTTTTAATTTATTAATAAAAGGTATAAAGAAAACAAAAAAAGATTCTGGTGTTATTTATGAATTAGGACTAATTTCTTCAATAATTTTCTGGCACTTATAAATGGCAGAAGAAAATGAAGAAATGATTAAAGTCAAACTGTGTCTTAATTGTTCTTGTAACCTACATCTTATACACTCCTTTCACATGAAAGGCACAGGTCTGTTCTTTTTCATAGTGGTGTTAATGGAGCTGGTCCTAACTTCTGAACTATCTACAGGAAGATGAGAGAAGATCACAGTCAACACTGCCAGCTTACCCAGACCACTGAGTACTACCAGCTTGCCCATGGAGTACTTTCATTAGCAATTCTTCCTCTCCAAGGCACCTCCAGTTTGCCTGGAAAGGACTCTTCATCCCAGCAGCTTGGAGTGCCACCAAGCATGAGGACACCTGGCTTCACTCCTTCACCACCTTCAGGGGTTTTTCAAGATGGCTTTTGTATGGGGTGGCCTTGGACACTGCTCTGTGAGGAGGAAGAAAAGTCACCTGAAACATAGACGAAGAGACTCACTCAGACCACAGCCAGCTTCAGGTCAGCCTTTAGGAATCACTAACGGGAATATTTTTGCCAAGAGAGCTTTTTTCAGCGAATGCCAAGTGCTTTTTCCCACATCAGTCACAGTTTGTTAGGCTCCAGTTTTACCAGTTCTGATCCTCTGAGGGTCCTGTGCCACGACTGCCCAGGCTCCAGCTGCAAGTGTCTGCTAAACTGCTCAAGTGAGCTGCTTACAAACACCCTGCAGGCAGGATTTCATTCCAAACCAGTAAGTGAAAATTATGATTAATTATATATTCCCAGAAGTTATGATCAGTTTATGAATGATTCATTAAAAAAAAAAAGACTTAATAGACTATGAATATAATTTGCAAGTAATAATTTAAGCAACTTCATCTCCAAAGGCGAGGTCCTTCTCATATTTACCTAATGACAGTCTGCAGTGCAAGTGCTGGGTGCAGTGTTGTGAATACTCTGTTTCCACACACCAGCACATCAAAATGCAGGTTTGCACTGTCCACAGCTCTGAATGCAAAGGGCAGGCTTAATTAGTTGCTTGCAGGCAGAGCTCAGGGGGGTGAAGGCATCACAGTGCTGAAGGCCAGCTCCCACCACAGCTGGACACACTGGATGTGACCAGGAGCCAAGAGGGGGGAGCAGCAGGGCACAAATCTTATCCTGGAGTCAAGGCAAAAGGCAAGGAGCCATCCCTGCCTTGGCTCTGAACCTTCCATGTTTTCTCTCTGGGGAGTGTAATTTACACTCCAGTTATGCATTTCCCCTTCCAACTTCTCAGCAAAGCTGGCACCCAATGCAAACTGCCTGCAGAAACAGGGTGTGAGACACCAGAGATGCTGTTCCTGTATTATTTATTGTTGTAATTCCTGCCTGTAGGAAGGGTTAGCTGGATGCAGTTAATGGATTTCAAAGAATGTCATGGGCTTGAGGTTTTTACTCCATTTTTGGACCAGGCTGATAAGGAAAGTGTCTGATTTGCTCAAGGATGCTCCACAAATTCCTGGGGTCAACTGCTCTTCCACTGCACATTTTACTAAGGGTTTCCTCCCTGCTTTCTCCTCAGTGACAAACACTGGGAGCAGCACTAACACCTTGACACTGCAGCTGGAGCAGGTGCATCACAGAGGGTTGGCAGAAGCAGCATGGACGAGATGGCTCTCGGGTGCATAAACAGCACAAGTCTTGCAGGAAAAGGCAGAGTCTTTCATGAGAACCAAGCAGCAAAATTGGGAAGTCCAGAGGAAAAAAGTCCAAACATCAAAAGAAGCACAAGGTAAGGACTGTAGTTCAAATGTAAACCAAACCACATAATTCTGTTAAAAATGTGAAGTCAGAAATCTAAGTTACTTGGTATACCCACCCTCTATTTGACTATACATTTGCTGCTGTGTAAAATATGCAGAGGTAATTGCAACCCTCAGAACTCAAAAATATAAATTATGCTCTCTCATCTGTTACCTTAGGTGGGGGCAAGTTTCTAGCTGAGCCATTGGTGGTCTGCTTGACTGGTGAGGTCATCAGCAATTCCCCAGAAAAAAAAAAAATAGCCCAAAGTCCAATTCCCTTTACATCCCTTCTCATGCTGCAGGCCTCTCCTCTTTCCCTCTTCCTCTCACAGCTTCTCTCAGAATCCCCCATAACTCCAGGCTGAGCTTCCTGCAAGGGCCCCACCCTCTCTTTTTAACACTGAGGAGATTTCTTACCATGACCTCTGGCATCTCTCTAGGTGTACATGACAAGGGTCAGCCACTGGAAAAAAAGGAGAGGAAAAGGTGCATTTAGACAGTGATGGTACACCAAGGGCTCAGACTTGTCTCAGGACCTTCAGGGGTGACCCAGTGACTGTAGTCCTTTTGTACTGCACGGGATAGTTAAGGGATTTTGGAACTGCCTCTTTCCCTTATTACAATTCAGACCCAGAAACTCTTTCCATATGTTGTTTTCCATGATAAATTATTGCAGCAGCTGCTGCAGGAGCAATTGCTGGGAAAGTGTGGCACCTGCCTGATTGCAAGTGGAAGAGATAGCAACTTCTGGGAACCTGGCTGTCCTACAGACTACCCTATAAAATAGGTCCAGGTCCTCTGCTTGCAAACTGTGCTCTGCCCTTGGTGCAAAACAGATTTAATGAACAATGAGGCTCTGCACTAACCACAGAGTGTAAACGGGAGCTGGTGAGATTGTAAAAGGCTCTTTTAAAAAATCTTTTTAAACACTGGGTTGTCAAATAACAGTCCCCAGACTGATAAAATGCAGTACTCAGGCATATCACTATGGAGCACAGCAGGATTTTTGCTTCAGACTAGCTGATAAAAAGCCTGATGTATCCCCATTCAGTGAGCTATCCTTCAGGCTGTGCTTTTAAGACAAACAGCAGCAGCAAGCATTTGTCTGCTGTTTCTTTCTTAAAGCCAAGATGTTTTGCAATTCAGGATTAACAGATGGGGCAGTAAGAAATGAGGGCATGGATTTTTTTTTTGGTTTTGTTTGTCACTTTCTCAAAGTCACTTTGAGCAATGTTTCCAGCAATGACAGGCTGGTGTCAGTAAGGGAAGACCCCATGCCTTGGCCAGGGATGGGCACCTCTGAGCTGTGCTCCAGTGGGGCCAGGGAACCCCGGGAAACACCTCCCACACAGGGTGCACTTCCAGCCAGGGAAAACCTCCAGCACTGTTTGCTAGGACAAAAGCCTAGCAACACACATCACACATCATCTTCAACTTCACCCTTCTGCTGACGTGTGCTCCCACCTGGGAGCTGGAGAGAAGAGAAGAGAAGGAAGGAGCATTCTTACCTCCATTGCTGTCATCAAAATTTGTGATCTGCCCTCTGCTAAGTTTTGGAATGCATCTAGGAGCAGAACAAAAAAACCCCTTATTTCATGAAGAAGAAGCAAGAATGCAGTGCAGACACAAGGCTGTGGCAGCTGAGGAGCAGAGCTGCAGTCCCTGTGCTGGGATGCTCTGCCTGGCTCAGTGTCCTGCCTGGCCATGTCTCATTTCTGTGCTGGCCCCTTCTGCCTTGGCCCTCGGATCACAGCCTGGAAAGGCATCCCAATTTTGGGGCCAGAATCTGGCAGAAGTGTAGGGACAGGCAGTGCTCAATGTGGCCTGCCTTCATCTCCTCTCCTAATTTGCTTCAATTGTTTTCCTGCCTGAAGAGTGACAGGAGGACGGTGAACTAATGAAACACATCTTCCCACAGGGAAACTTTCTGTTGGTCCTTTTCCATCCTCCCTGGCAGTGAGTGATCACAGTGTGCCCTAAAGAAAGTGATTCTCTTGAAGTCATTAGTATGCCTTGCAAGCTTTTTGCAGGGAATATAAATGCAGATGCTGCTGTTATTCAGCTAGAGTTTGAAATTAACATTGCTGAAAGTTTTTTTTGACAGAACACTTTGCCACCAGGAAATTTAAATCCATTCAAATATTGTTATTCTATGTGCATATTTATATTGCAGTATGTCTAGGAGAAGTCTTCAAACCCAAGTATTTGGATAAACTCAAAACACAGTGTTTTGAGGGTTTTTATTTATTTTGAAATTACTTTTCTCCTAGAAATGTGCTCTTATAACAGTAATAAAAAGTTGAAACAAATTTAAGTCTGTCTATCCCTGAATGACACATTTCTCTGGGAGCCTGGAGTTTCCCACCCTTGATGGAAAAGACTTTGTAAGATTACAGGTGTTTTGAAACGTGCCCAGCCTTAGCAAAAAGGCTGCTGGGAGAGGGTAGGAACAGGGCACAAGGGCTCATTGCTCATCTGCCCCTTAAGAGGCCACCAGAGCTACCTGTAGGGCCTAAGCAGGGAGGAAAGGTGCCACATCCAGCCTACACTGCTCTGAAGAAAGGCACAGAACAAGGAAATCCTCGTGTTGTGCCCAATCCCTTGACAAGGCTGTATTTGCAGGGCTGGGCTTGCACCCAGCAGTCTTTTTAGGAAAAAGTGGCAGCGCTGAAATTACCTCCTCTGGGCAGAGGTAAGTGGCTCTTTACTGCTTCATTAACTCCAGTTAAATAGAATTTGCAAAGAAGAGGCTGCTTTTGGTTTGGGTCTCATCTCTGGCTATCTTGAAAGGATGAATAATGATTTAATGGGACTGATTTTATCTTCCCTGCTGCATTCACATCATCATAAAGGTTGACTGCCTTTTATTCCCACTTGGCACCCTTATCCTCTCCTGTAGCAAACTTCCTCACAATGATCTAAAAAAGTTTGAGAAATGTATTTCACATTAAACCCTCTGTAAAGTGATAACTGAAAGAGTGGAGAGCATTTTAAAATTCTCATTACAGACAGCAATGAAACTTTTAGATACTCCTTTCCACATGGATGCAAAGGATTTGTCTTTACATTGACTCTTAAAATGTAAAAGGATCTTTTTTAAACAACAAAAAAAAATACTGTGGCAGTAATTTAGGCATAAAAACTTTCATCTACAGCAAGTGACATGTATAATCACAAAAAATGGGTGTTTGCAAGATTTTTTTTTTAATGAAAGCATTAAAATCAGGACACGCTCTGATTTTACAAGGCTTTCAGAGCTGCTTCTGCTGTACTCCCTTGAAATGGGATTTTCAGCAGTGTCATCCAAGCAGATCTGCTGACCACTGTTGGCCCATTAAACATCAGTGCTAAAAACACATGGGAGAAAATGAATGCTCGTTTCCATGCACTGTTGAAACCCAGCTCATTCCAGAGATGAAATAAATTGCTGTAGCAATGTTCTAGCACAGGGGTCACAGTTGCTGACTTTGTTTAACTACCAATATCTCCAGTCGAAATGCTTATTATTAGAGTAGCAAAAATTACGATTCTGTAAAACAGAATTTCATTTCCATTCAGGCAAAAGCTCATTTACAAACCCTCCCTCCTTGCAAGTGCCAGGCAATAGTTGGATGCAACACAGGGAATGGGTTTGTTCATCCACAGAGGATACTGGACTTTCTCCTAACTAAAGAACTGAGAGAACTTTACTGAACACTGAACTACTCTCTTGCAGCCAGTTGCTCCAGTGTGTGGCATTCGCATTCTCTGAACAGACAGAGACATTATTCTCTCTCTCAGGTTTTTTTTCCTGCAGAAGCACAGAGAGAAGAAGATAAAAACAATTCTTATCTCTACTTGCTGCTCCTGTTGTTGTGCACACGTGGAATGTGTTAGGAAGATTGTTTACCTGAAGCGATTTGTCAATTGGCTTCTGCTGAGGATTTTGTTTCCTTGGCCAATTGGCTCAAAGCTGTGTCCTGGCTGTCTGGAGACAGTCATGACTTTTCTTTAGTATTCTTTGTAGTATAGTATAGTGTCTCTTCAATATAGTTGTAATATAGTATAGTTTTAATAAAGCAATTGTTCAGCATTCTGAATCGATGGAGTCAGATGCCAATCATCCCCAGAGTTGGGGTCACCTAGTTTTCTATGCCAGTGCACAGGAGACGAATCCAGCTGCTGGCAAACAGCCTGCCCAAAGAGCTGCCTGGCCCGGGCCAGCTGTGTCCCTTCCGAACTACGCCGCTGGACCGGTGTTATCACGCCTTGTGTCGCGTCCCTCGTCCCTCGCCCCTGCTCCCAGCCTGGCTTTGCAGGCTCCCTGCTGCCACGTGCCCTGGCGTGCTGGCACTCACGGCTCATGGTGTCGAGGCGCAGCATGCAGCACACGAAGTCGCAGCAGCCAACCCTGCCGCTGCCATCGCCGTAGCGCAGCGTCATCAGGCGCAGCAGCTGCGCGTCGGAGGCCAGACCTGCCGAGGGAAGACACGCTGGGAGGGCATGCAGCAGCTCTGCTGGCCTCCTGCAGCCTGCCAGCAAGCTGGGGACACCCTCAGCCCCCTTCCCTCTCTTCCCCTGGGCAGCCTTTCCCCCACTTCGTGCCTAAGAGTTGGGGCGGGGTAATGGAAAACCAAAGTCGCCTCACTCACTGACTCCCACTGCGGCTTAAGTCAGCAAGCTGCAAACACTGAGCTAACTCATCTAGTGTTGTCTTGCTTTGCCTTTCTAGCTTTTATTTTCTATAAGAAAGGGTGTTTTTCTTTGGGTCATAACTGTAAAAGTCTGAGCGTAGCATTTCCGATACCACCGGCTCCTTCTGCTAAAGAGGCAGATGCTGCATTGCTGCATGCTCAGGCTATTACGCTGCATAGCATGCCTGGGATTCTTAATTTTTACATTTTCTCTTCTATTAGAAAATGGTGAAGGGTGCATTTCTTTTTTATTAGTTGATTATTCAGTATTTGTGTCGCAGTCTGTTTGGATGGAAATCGGTATTCAATTGAATGAACAAAAATTGCTTTTTAGAATGATTCTTTTATTAGTTAAATAAAACTACCCTAAATGTGCTGGCTATATAAGAGGAATGATTTAAATATATTTTGCACTAAAAGCTGATTTGCAAAACAAAAGGGAAATTTTCCGCAGAGAGCTGGACTGATAGCTTTGGTTTAATGCCTTCTCTGAGACTTCAGAAAAGTCTCATTTGCTCGCTCCAGGTTTTAGTAGCTCAGCTGGATGTGAAGTAACTTTCCTGCTTTTTCAACCAGCTCTAAACTTTTCCGTTTCAAATGAACTCATCATGGAGCTAAATTAGTTGAAAAAGCAGAAATAAAAGAAATGGCTTCTCTACACCTGTGTAGGGAGAGAGAGCTGATGGAAGTGGTTTTGTACCACCATTGACAAACTCTGGTTGCATGAGCCTAGTTGGAGGTCTCCAGCAGGAAGCAGGTACATTATGCTGAATAATTAAAGAATGGAAATACATTTGGGCTTAAGATACATTTCAAGTTAAGGTAAACATGATTTTATATTCTTTTCAAATGAGATAAAGATAAAAATTAAAAATTAATCTAATTAATTGTCCTCTTTGAGTCTGGTTTTAAAGCACTGTAGCAATGAGCAATGAATTCTATTTTTAACCTTTTGAAGACAGTAGGAATTCAATCAAGCTCTCTCCAGAGAGCAGATTCCAGTAAATATTACTTATGGGATGCTACAATCAAGTCTTACCCTAGTAAAACACCAAGAATTTGGCCAGGTCAGTCTAGGATACACTTGCTCTGAAATCTGCTCACTTGGCAACATCTCTCAATTAACCTCATCAACAAAACTGAAGGGTCAGTCCTCTCTGTTCCCAAGAATTTTCAGCTGATTTGTAAGACTACTTCCCAAACCTTTTGTCTGCTGGATTCCTCCCTCTGGTTTTGGCCAAGATGCTAATTACTGACTTGATGTTTCCCTATTTATAAAAATTATTTTGAATCATTTGCTGTTGCCAAAGAGGAGTTTGTAAATACATCAGGCCAACGCTGCTGCATTTCAGGGCAGCACTGCTGTTAATGCAGCTGGCCTGCTTTACTCTGATCCATTATTATTATTGGAAGCATTAGGAAAATAGTGAAAATTAAGCACACAGTGCAGTGTTTTGTTGGGGAAAGCACTGAACACTTCAGGGAACAGCTGCCTAGGAGCTGGATTTAAATACATTAATACCATTCCCAGAGGTAGCACCAAGCTCCCAAACTCCTGGGGTTCCTGCTCAAAAGCCAGGACAGGGATCATCCCATTGCCAAGCCAGATTCAAATCCAGATGTCTGGCTCAGAGGGCAGCAAGAATGAGCTTGTAATTTTCCTCCCCACTCAGAACTGCTTGTAGTCAAACATGTATTGAATTTGCCACTTAACAGTGCCTTTTTATCCCTCCAAACAGCTGCATTGTTTTGGCTGACAAGACTTTTCAGTGTACAATTTTCCTCCCAGTTTTACACTTTGGCATCTTTCTCACAGAATGGCCCTGGCAGCTTCTCCTTTGACATCTGGCACATCAGTGCTGCTCTTCTCAGACAGGTGCTGATGCTTTGCCCAGCTCTCAGCAGCAAAAAAAAATTATATATGCATCCCCTCAGCTGATGGCTTCCAGGGATAGCAATCCTGCACCAGTTTCCTCCTGGGACAGCACCCCTCTGAGCTCCAGGCAGCCAAATGGGAGCTTCTCTAGTGCACAATTAAAAGGGGATGGCTGTGTCAGAGATGTACTTCATGCACAAAATCTCCTTTGAGAAAACCCAGCTGAAACGCTTCACTCGTGCGCACTCGCTGAAAGTTTCAGCACTCGGCAGCCAACAGAGGTCAGTGCAAACTAAATAAATGCCTGTCAGTGGGGCTTTCCCTTCTAAATTTAGTCACTGCCCTGGAGAGAAACTGCAGGAACTGAGTGAGGCAAGTGCAAGAATCCACTCTTCCTTTCTCCTTTCCTCCCCGCTGGATGTTCCATCCATGACCGAGAAGCAGGTCTGGCCAGGGCTGCATTTCTCTGCATCTTTCTGCTGGCTCCAGCACAGACCTCTCAGCAGAGCTGTGATCTAACTGGCATCTCTGGGAAATCCAAGCCACTTTCTCCCTAAAAGTATTTTTTTTCTCTCCTCTTTCTTTTTCATCCTTTCCCTCAGTGCCACAGGGGAAACAAAGGGAGCTGCTCAGCCCCTCTGGGCGTACCTGCTGCCTGTATGGCGTTCTCCAGTTCAGCAATATCAAGAAATCCAGAACGGTTCCTGTCTTCCTTGAAGAAGATATCCTAAAATACAGTGCAAAGGCAGATTTCAAGCTCTTACCACCATTCCCCACATTTAGTACTACAACTGATTCTCCTCTCTTAATAAATATGCTGCAAAGTAGTTCAACAGGTGAGATGGAGTGGCTGTGACAAGGGAGACCCATTTTCAGAAGGCTCTGACAGAATGCTACTGTGTAAGAAACCCACAGTTTGGGGTGGGAAGAAGCCTTTTTGCTTTCCTAAAACACACCACACCACATTTGAGGTGCTGTCAGTGGGAAGAGCACCCCTGTCTAGATGGGGAACTAGGTGGGCTCAGAGCATCTCAAGAGGAATGGAACAAATTGGAGCCCACCCAAACCTGAGTTTTGAGGAAATCCTACTGTCCTGCACCAAGGCTGAGGGAGAAGGACCTGACACAGAGAAGCTGCCATGCATGCCCTGAAGAATTTAAGTGGGACCCTAATACCATGTCACTGCTTCCAGTGCTTATCCTGGAGCAGAAACATTTCTCCCAGACAAGCCTTTATCAGATCCTATACATTTCCACTAGAAACTGCAGAAACGAGAAAAGACATTTTTTCAGATGACTCTGTTCAAGAAGTCATTTCAGCTTAGAAAGCTTTTCTTAAAAAAAAATAAAAATTGCCAGTGGTGGCACAGACATGGAGATTTCCATCAGATTCTGAGCCTAATTGGCCTTCCTACCTTTTCCCTCCATGCTCTCTGTGCTGGAAAAGCCTGGACTGCTCATTTGGAGCACTTTACACACCCCACTGCCTCCCTTGCGTGAGGAGGGAACTCTGACCCGCTAAGCAAGCAACCTCTGCAAGGCTGAGAGCACGGAGCAGCTGCTCCCTGCTGCTGGAAAGCCCCGGGGTACAGAATCCACAGAATCCACATAACCCAAAGCATCCACAGCATCCGCAGCCCAGAGAGAGCCACCCCCTCCCTCCCCCCGTACCATGTACTTAGTGAGGCTTCGCCAGAGGCTCCCGAACTCCTGCAGGGTGAGTCTTCCATTCGAGTTGAGCTGTGCATTTAGTTAAGAATCGAGCATTTAATGAGAGCTGAACCTGGCTGTCTTTGCTGCTGAGGATGCTGCCTGCACAGACCTGACCACATAAGATGCAGCCTCTTCTGTGGGTCACTTTGTGCTGAGAAAACCAAGAGTTTTCCTGCTCTCAATCCTGTTTAAATCCACCTTCTTTGTCACACTGCACAGCTGCTCATGCCTGTCCTCACAAACTACAAAAGGTTTCTATTTATAAGGCACCTTTAACCACAGGGGAAGCTGTGGTGACATTTAGCCCCGGAGCATGGACACCCCTGTGGATGAACATGGCCCCATGGCCTTGCCTCTGCACAGGACCTGCTCTGCCTGGTTCCTCCAGGAGAACAGGCACTGAGGAGCCAAGAGCACGAGGAGATGATCCCAAACCTGCTCCCCTCCATACTGCACCCACTCCAGTGCAGGATGGTGAAACCTCCCCGAAAGCAAAACCCATCACCAGTGAAATACGAGCAGACAAATGCAGCTGTCGTGGAACCTGAGTAAAAAAAGCTGATCCTGGCTTTGCAGGCCAGGATAGGTCACACTGTACATGGGTTATCTGCAGGCCAGAGAATTAAAAATCCATCCTGAATTATAGCAGAGCACAGGCTTTCTCAGCTCTTTGCACGTGCCATGCATTCACAGTGCCCACTTATCCCAGGACAGGCTTTGCAGAGGAGGAAAAGTCTCTTTCACTGGCTAGATGCTGAAAGCTGGAAAGAGAGAGGGACTTCTGGTCATTTTTATTCATTCTGTGGCAGTTTTTAAAGGTCTGAAAATGTCTCAAAGCTTTTTCAAGGCATGGAGGAAAAGAGACAATAAGCAAGCAAAGGGGAAGAAACACACGAGGGAGATGTATGTTTCCATCAAGGAGCCCTCTTGTTCTACAATGGCCAGAAATGTATTTCTTGTGTTGTCTTGTTAACAGTAAAAAGACTGACTCATTCAGCTAAATAGGAGATACACTGGAAATAGACTCTGGGATGGCCTGCGAGGCCAGTGCCTGGGATTCAGCAGTGACAGTGTTTCTGCCCCTGACACCAGCATTGCTGGCAGCCTGCTAAAGTGCCACCCAAGGCTGGCACCACCACAGAACAGCTGAGCTGTGCCTAAACTCTGTCCTGCCTCCTTGCCTCAGCTCTGCCTGAGACCCCCACCCAAAGGTGAAGGTTAGCGTCAAGCCCCAGAGAGGGCAAAATGAGAACAAAAAGTCAGCTGGTAGCAGAAGGTTGATCCTCACCTGGCAGCAGACACACCAGAGCCAGGGCAGGCACAGCAAAGTCCTGCATGGACTATGGGACAGTTATTTATTGGGGATTTGAGCTAATATTTACTTGCAGGTTCTCACGCTGGGATGCTCAGCTCAGCCATAACTCAAGGCAAGGATGGGCAGCACCAGGGAAGTTTATTGCTTCTGCTGAAAGGATACATCCATCAGAGCTAAAATGCCTCTGCATGAATCAAAGCTGAATGTCCCTCCCAGGCTGGTCATTTCATCTGCAAGGATTGACAAAACAGAAGGAATTAGCAAGAGCAAGGGCTGTGACAGGCATCAGGACACCGTTCTGAGGGAAGGAGGACACCAGGCTGAAGCTCACACAGCTGGTTCAGGTTCTCAAAGGGCTCTGTGCCAAGCTGAGGGAATCTGCACATCTCAGACACCTTCCTCAAGGATAGGTGCCCTGCTTGGGCTCTGCACAGTCCCTGCCCAGGGACAGAAACACTCCCCTCTTCACATAAGGGAAATGACAGTGACAAGAAAGGCCACTTATGCTGATTTAGCAACTCCTAAGAGCACTTTGAGCCTTGTGCATGGCTGAGCTGGCTCCAGCCCCACAGCTGTGCCCCTCTCAGGCTCTCATCCCACAGTGCAGTAAGCCACAGTGAGGATTGTTTAAGGACCATCAGGACACCATTAAATCCTATGTCTAATTGACTCTAATCCCTAAGGCTAGGGAAGCACCAAAAACATTAGCTGGGCTGCTTTACCTTGCAAGATCACTTCATTAAGGAGTTGTTGCAGCTGCGAGGCATCAATAGTTGAGCCCTGGTGCAAAATAAAACACAAAGAGACGTCTGTGAGCACAAAGTTTTCTCCTGTGTTACTCTTGCCCAAAACTTTTTTCCTCAGGCACTGTGGCAACCAAGAGCCCCTGTTTATGTACATCAAAGGAGCAGCAGCATCCCCTCTGGAGCATGACAAGGCCCTCCACGCTGCCGGGCCACTCCAGGTCCTTCCCTACAGCTGCACTGCCACCACCACGGGTTTGTTCTGCAGGGATGGGGAGCTGTGCACGGGCAGCACAGCAGGCTCTGTGTCAGTGGGCTGGGAGCACAGGCAGTGCTGCCCATCAGCCATCCCAGACACCCCCAGGGCCCCTGGTGTGTGGCAGCCCTGCTCCTTTTCACCTTCACGCATTGATGTAACCATTAACTGCGAGAGGTTCATTGTGCAGAGGCTTTTGACAGCGATTTTTTTCCTCTTGACTAAGTCAAGGAGTTCTTTATAACAGTTTATTAAACCATTAAAAGCATCTCCTGTGAACACAGAGCTTGGCTCTGAAAGAGCAGGAATCAATTACTCAAACGCTGACTGATGTCTGGTTTCCAAGTGCTGAGAAGGCAAATGGAAAATGATGCTGATGAGAGGGGGGGGCTACCCAAGGCTTTCTAATTGCTTTCAGCAAATAAACAAACCAAAGCAAAAAAAAAAAAAAAAGAAAGTACACATGCAAGCCCATCACCAGCTCAACTATAAATCCCCAATATTCCACTGATATATGGCACTAGACAATCTATCCCAGCTGAATGTCCCATTTTTCTGGGGATTTTGGCAGGTCAATCAATACCATTTTCAGGGTATCCACTTGAGGATGGACCTACACTTCCAAAAAAAAAAATTCTAAATGGATTTGTATCAACATCATAGATCAGTTTTTCCACAAGTCCACATGTGTTTTTTTAATTAATTTTTTTCCAACAATATGTTTTAGAGAGGGTACCTGCTTAGCGTACTTTAGGAAAAGAGCCTTATAGGAGCTGCCCTGGCTCTGCCTTGGTACATCCTGCATGGAAAACAAAGAGCAGACATAAATAATTCAGCTACAAAACAACTGGAGGCAAAAGTCTGCTGATGCAAACAGCACTTTAGAGGGGCAGGGAATGTACAGCACAGGCTGCAGTTTTCACACCCACAAAATAAAGCAGACTAGGAGTGAGCAACTGCTACTGAATGAAGGAAGAAGCATATTTCAGGTGTTAGCAGCTAGTAGAGCAGGAAGGAGCAGTTCAGGGCTTAAGGAAGATGACAGAACACATCCAGGGTGGAATTCAGTGAGTCAATACTTGAGTATGGAGATACAAGGCTGATCCTTTTTGGTGGACCTTGGTTGGGACCACTGCTCAGGGCATGGGGAGGTTCATGTGAACCAAGTAAACAGAGCACAAGCTGACTTTTCCTTTCTCTTGCACCTTCACAATCCCAAGACAAGCTTGGACCATACCCGAGCAATTGCACATCAATAGTTAAGTGATTTTTTTCAACCTTCCAGTGAAAAGATCCACCAGGCACTAAGGGGAATGATTCTTAACATTATAAAGTCTTCAGAAAAAATCTAAGCCCAAGATCCAACACCTTCATCTCTGTGTGAGACACTTCATACCAAAGAAGCCCAAATACCTGAACAGGAGCAGAAACTCTGGGTACCACAATTCATCAAAGTCAAAACACTGGCTAAGAACAACAGCCAGCTAAACTGACAGCTTGTCAGTGGAAAGAGATAAAAAGTCACCATTTACACTACCCCTCTAATGGGGCTTAATTGTGGCTGGAAAATGAATCACAAGGAAAGGACTCCATTTTCTGTTCTCCTTCACACCTCTGGCTTCAAAGATCTGTGTCTTTGAAGGTTGTAAATAGCAGCTTCTCAGTGGCAGGGCTTTGCTGGTTGGACCAGCAGGGGCTGGACCAGCCCTGGCAATGTGCACAGCTCACAGCAAGAACTCAAAAAACCCACGGAAGCTGGGCTGGAGAGCACAAAATGAGGTTTGAACTAGAGATGCAGCCAGTTTCAAAGTGTGGTTTGCTTTATGTCTCTTTCTCTGAAGATATCCTGATGAAAAGCAGCAGAAATCTGATTTGAGTCTCATCCCTATGGACTCCTGTGCTTTATAGGGTACGAGCACTTAAACTGAATCATTCCCATGGGGAAGGCATGTCCAATCCCACTCATAAGAATTAAGTTTCCCTCTCTCTCCCCCATAGATATATACCCATTTTACAGACATTGAAAGAAATTAGAATCTTTTAAGCATTCTCTCCCCTGCTATATTTGGTTTGTCAAAGTGTTAAAGACGGTGAGGTGAAAAGGACAGATAGACAGACTGACAAAGGGACTGCATAACACCTGTTTCCTCAAAAAGCAGGCTCTGAAATAGACATATGAGAAGAGGAAGGGCTTTGTTGTCACTCCCATCTCTCCAGAGAGGTGTCCTGCCCTCCCAGCAAGGTTTCAGGGTGCCAGAGTCAAACAATGGGACAGCAGTGGGTGGTAAAGGGAGAAAAGAGCAGAAGAAGAGGAGTCAGTAGAGGTGGCCAAATGCTCGCCACCAGAGCCTTCACCAGTTTTCAGACTCTTACCATCGGCAGCCCTGGGCTGGTCAGGGAGCTTGAGTTCCTGGAAAAGATTTACAAGAGTCAAACTGGGAGGAAAGAGCCCTTTCCAGAGCACTGATTTGCAGCTGTGGAGGAAGGCAGGCACCAGCAGCAGCACTCAGCCTGCCCACAGCCCCACAGGATGCTCAGCACCCATGGCCCAGCCTGGCCCAACTCAGACCAGGCTGCTGCACCAGTCCTGGGTCTCTCTGTGCAGACAGGTCTGGGTCTCCATCTGCTCTGGGGCCACTGCCCTACCCAAGCCATCTCTGTTGGCACCAGCAGCAAAGAAAAGTAGCCTGTCTCACCCTGAACATGCCAGGACTGACCCCACCACACAGAGCACAGAGCCCTGCCTTGAGCCACAGAAAATTTTCACCTCCTTTCTCTTTGCTCACCTTAACAGTCAGGAATAAAAACAGCATCTGGGCTATTAAAAGGCAACATCTAAATGTCTGCAGACTGCCTGAAACTGGGCCAGGGTCACCATTGCTAAGACACACTTAGCAGCCACATTTAGTACTTGAGTTTTGCTTTCAGTAGAGGAATCAGACAAGCCAGGTTCTATTTTTATAGCATCTGTATAGGTAAGTGCTGCAGAGACTCTCTGGAAGGTCATCTCCACACCTGGCTGAACTCAAGAAGGTCTGTGAGGGTCAGAGGCTCTCCTGAAAAGTTCACTTCCAGGGCTGAGCTGTCTCACACATGACTCACTCTGCTGAAGGCACTCCAGCCCACAGCACAGATTCCTTGTGTTTGCTTCCATAACTCAGGAGCTGCCTCAGTTGGTTCTGGGCTGTTTTTGCCAGGGGCCAAAGCCTGGAAAGCAATCTCATTATTAAGATATGGGGCAGTGAGGTAAGAGCTGCAATCACTAAAGCTGAGAGGAAGGCACTGCACAGTGATGCTGGCAGGTCATTTGGTGAGGCTGGGACTCAGAGGTTGCTTACTTGGAGTAAACCACACCCAAATACAATACAATACCACATTCACTGGCAATGTGAGTGTGTGTGAACTCAGACCCATTTTTCCACTAAACTTATCTTCAAGGCCGCTCTCATGCCCACAGGGAGCTCTGCCTGTCTGTGAGGTGGCTGAGTGGAAGGATCAAGGCCTTTCACTGCTCTTGGCCTCTCCAGGTCCCACTCTGAGCAGAATGGGATCTGATCCATCTGGCATCCAGCCAGCCGAACGTAAGAAACTACTGAACAGCTGCTAAGAATTAGGGAAAACAAGCTCCCAGTCCTCCTCTCAGCAAAGAGAAATGTCCTCACAATCAGGGCTAGAGGACATATCTCACAATTATTGCTCTCATTGTAGCAAAGCTGAGACCCTTTGCAGGGTGGCTGCAGATGAGCTCCTGCCCTGCTCTGCAGTGGCCACCCTTGTGCACCTGATCCCACCCAACAGGTGCTTCACACTCCTCTGTGCCTTCCCCACCCTCCACTAAAAGCAAACTTCCCCATCAGTTATCTTGACAGCAAATAGTTAATTCCTGGCACACTGAGTCTGGGGCCTTTAAGAGTGTGTATCATCTTACTCATGGTAGTCTTGATTCTTTATGAAAATTCGTAAGAGAAATTCAAATTCCTGGTCCTCTGCTGCAGCAGGAACAACGGCGTAGGTTCCTGGGCTCAGGATCAAGTAGCTGGTCACATCTCGAGTCTGGAGAAAGGTTTGCTTCAGAACTCTGGAGTTCTCCTGAAAGAAAAATACAGATGGCTGTCTTCCTGTTAGGAGCCAAAGTAAATCAGACAGCACAGTCCCAGCAGCCTGCCATCCCCACACCTCTCTGAACACACACTGCATCTGTCAGGTCTCCACCTCCCCTGTGGCCTGAAGAGCCCAGCCAGGGGACAGGCTTTTCCCAAGGACATATCAAAGCTGGTCAAAGGTGGAGAAACTGAAAGAAACAGAAGCCAAAATGAACTTAAGGAGATTTGAGGAGAGCTTCAATTAACATTAAGCAGAGTTCACGGAGGAATCAAGGATGAATGCTATTACTAAAAATTTGCCTGAGATCTTCTGAGACTCAAAGAGGTCGGAGAGCCCTCTAAGTATGTCACCCAGATGACAATGCTTCAAGAATCCCAATCCAAACTAGCAAGTGTCACAAGAAAACTCAGTATTCTGATCTTTCATCTGTTATTCCAGTATTTTTTTTGCTGAGATGAAACAAATATAATGCAACAGCTATTTACTATGATGACATGTAAAGATAGCATAATAAAAAACCCTTCCTTAACATATTCCCCAAAATATATCAGCGTGTATAAATTCCATTTAGAATGGTTATGCAGCGTGGCAGAGTTATTTATGAGCCATGCCTTTGGGAGACAATAACATAAAACTGCTATTTTGGAAGGGGGGAAAAAAAAAAGAGGATGACTACTGTTACAGAGGGCTGGGAGGTACACAGACTGCCAAGTATTATGGGTCAGATCTTGAGCAGATAGAAATGGGCAGTGCTGCAAAGAAATAAATGGTGTAATACTTTTTTCCCCCCACTTCTGAGCCTTATTCCACATTCCTTCTGGTAAAAAAAGCAGAAGCAGATTAATATCTCAATGGAATCAAAACTGGTGTGAGATAAGAATCAGCCTCTATACATTTCTCAGCGCTATCACACAACATTAAACTTCCCTCACAGCCATGTATTAGTGTTCCACGTCTATATTTAATCAAAGGCTTCCTAGAGCTATCAGATACGTCCATTCTGCTTTGCATCCCTGCCTGCACTGCATTCTCCCCTCATCCTGCCAAGGGATAATGCTCCTTTTACTTCACAGCAACAATTTGATGCATCTCAAAAGGTACTGAACAACGGATGGTGCTGCTCATGAATCACAGCAGAGAAAGCAGACCTGGGAGGAAGAGTGAAGCCACATGAATCTTGCCAACTGCACCCTCCTTGTGCAAAGAAACCCCTTGAAAACTTTTACCTAAAGGTCTTCTGACTGCTCTAAGGCACTGAGGCTGAACACTGGGAAATAAACCGAGGGAATGGCGCTCACACCCAGTCTGGTTTTGGCTCCTGGGCTTGGCTTTTGCTCTACCAGGACAGGAACACCAGGCTGGCTGTGAGGAGCTGGTAGGGCAGCTCTCACATTAAAATACTTCATGTGTGTCCATGAGGGAATGTTTTCTGTATAACCCTCTGTATGAATGTGCACCAATATCATTATATTGATAAAAGCTCTGGTGTGACAGAGCAGCCTCACTGCTCCCTTGCCCTCCCTGCTGCCCAGGTGCTCCAGAGTGATCCTGGTGCCTGCAGCAATGCTCTGTTCTGGCCCTGCCCTCCAGCTCCTGTGTAGGAGGTCACTCATAAGGCCAGAAACCCAAGTGACCTGAGCCCAAAGGGAGCCTGAGGCTCGCAGTCCACAGAGGCCATGCCATCTAGACTTGACAAATTCATTGAGGTTCATCCATCCTTGATCCATCTCATACAGGAGAGAGAAAATACACCTGAGCATCAACTGGAGGGGAAGAAAAATTTTAAATATAAAGCAAGAATAGAGAAAATCCATTTCCTAGTCTGCTTCCTGATTAAATAACCCCTTTTTGGAGGGAACCAAGACCTATATCATCACCTCTCAGTGAAGGCCACGCCTGTTCAAATGGGTAACTGATCACGGTGGATGTGTATCATGCAAGAGCACACAGAGACCTCCATGGCTGGTGACTTTTGGGGATGCTGGAAGGAGCAATTCCCCTTTCACCAGGAGCAGCAGCTCTTTCTGAGTGGCACAGCTGGCCCAATGGAGTGCTGCAGGCTTGATACCTGCACAGGACAGAGGATATCCTCCCACAGGGATTGTGAGCTCCACTTGCTGGAGGGATGCCTTTTTAATGACATCTTTTATTTCTCAGACACATTTTTTTTTTACGAGCTACAAAGCCATGCTCTTCCTTTATGAGGAGCTGTTAAACTTATGGCATCAATTATTTAAAGTCTGGGACGGGGGCAAACCTCTCCAGTAATGAGGAGAATGAGGAGAAATTAGGGTTATAGCAACCCCTGCTTCCTTTTTAGCCTTTGGGTTTGGAACAATAGCCTCCCACAGTCATCAGCCAACAACAAAAATACTTTGGGAAAGGCTAGCATCCATCCATACTGTGCTTTCAGTAGGCCTGGTAGTGCTCTGAGAACAGCTTGAGAAGGCACCTCTCTGGACAGTCACCAAGAAAAAAACCCGGAGAAATTGTAGTGGAGGTCGCGGGTGTCTGAGTGGATTTCCCCTGGCTCGGTCTCGAGCTAAGGCTTTCATGTGTTTTGTAAATGTTTCTACACAACTTTTCAGATAGAAAACAGGAGGATGAGTGAGACAGGTCCACTTTGGGGAACAAGAGACAATCTGCTTCCCTGCTATACCTGGAGTGCTGCTCGAGGGCTGTGGCTAGTGCTGGCTGTGATGCCTTGTGCCCAGCCAGCATGGCATGTCACCAGCACTGCTGGCACAAAGGACATTGCCCTGGCACATCTCCTAACACAGGGACTCCCTCAGTCTCCCAGGGCTATTCTGGGATGCTACAGAACTAAAAGTGCCACCTTTTTCTTAAGACATGAATAAAAGAAAGTCTGCTTAACTCTATTTTTACTCTGAGTTTCTACAATAGAAGGCACCCAGAAATTCACACCACATACTGACCTTTGGCCTTTTTGGCCTTTTTAACAGGCCAAAAAGCAATGCAGTCTTGCATTCCCCCATACAGGTAAAATAAACCACCCAGAAAACAACAGTGCCCACATGATGTCCGACTATGCTTACCGTGGTGATGAAAAAGCCAATCCTCAGGTTTTTTTCATCCTGCACATGCTCAGCGTGTTTTTGCATGAGTGAAATTGCTACATTACAGGCTTTCGGGTTGTGATCAAGCACTTTGAAAAAATACTGAGGGTTTGTTGAAGCTGCACCTGCTGAGAAAGTGTTAATAGGTTAACAGTAGGCTCAGAGGTGTCCAGCAGTAGCCTGTTGTGTGAGATCTTGCTTGTGTTGACCCAGAGGAGCAGGCAGTCATTGCTCCAAGATCCTTTCATTACAACAGAGCACCGTGGTCTCCACACTAGCACTAGGAACTGAGGCATCTGGAGGTAAACTAATTGCACATTTATCATTTTAGAAATCTCTGGCAGAGTCACAGAAGTCGTGTGGATTTCTCAACCCCCCTACACCTGCTTCACCTACACGGCAATGTGGCACACTTTCCCAGCAGCAGAAAAGCAGTGGCTCTTAATCAGGCACCTGACCCAGAGGCTGAGCTGAAAAGGACTGTGGCTTTGAGGTGATAAACACATAGAAAAGGACAAAATGGAGCAAAGCTATCCTCTTCTTCCCTGCTGCTAATGCTTGTGATGGACAGACAGAATGTCGAGCACCAGAGGGAAATAGCTGCTTCTTGGCTTTGGTTAACAGGAAGCATTCCTGGTTAAAAAAAAAAAAAAAAAAGCAATGAACTACCCTAAGTGGGGAAAGAAGGACTGAGATGGCAGATGGACAGACAGAATGTCGAGCACCAGTTTGGCAACCCCCATTTTTTCATTTTCTAGCCCCTTGCCTACAAGATAGCATTCCTGGTTAAAAAAAAAAAAAAAAAAGCAATGAACTACCCTAAGTGGGGAAAGAAGGACTGAGATGGCAGCAGAGTAGATTTAGAGCCAGATCCCTGTTTTGGGTGACCTTGAAAGTTGCAAATTTGAATCATTGTACTTGGACAAGGCCTTTACTAGAGGGCTGTTGGGAAATACAGCTCCAAGGAAAATGGCTTTGCCTGCACACTTTCAGTTCAGGGCTTTCTCTGGAGCTTGGCAACCCCCATTTTTCCATTTTCTAGCCCCTTGCCTACAAGACCCTTGCCCCTGCACCTCCCTGCTCAGTCCCAGTGACTGTGATGTGCAGCAGCACAGGCACTGCTTTGTTATCACACCTTGAGACCTGGCGATCAGGTCAGGAGCAGGAGCCTGAAAACTGTCAGCCAAAACCTGGTTGCTGCTAAGTCAAGGAGTGCCCTTTGAGGAAAAAAAAGAAGCCTCTTCACTGATCAGATACTACCATCCTAGATTAAAAACACAAAGCCCAAACACTGATGCAGCTTTAAAAAAAAAAGTGAGATGAGATAAGATAAAAATGTAAAAATATACTACTACTGATTGGAGCTTACAATGCCAGAAGAGTTCTTGCACAGGCAGTAAAACCACTGGTCTTATCAGATGAGGAAGACCTTTTTACCTTAAAAAGTAGAGCTTTGTAGCACAATTTTTTCATTCCATATCCATTCCCTTTCAGAGTACTTTTTGCTCTTTAAAATCAACAGCCTATTTGCCAGACCAGACTTTCTGATGAGGTGCCCAGTAACACCTACTGCAAGTGGCTGAAAGAAGATATACAAGCTCATTTTGACTTAAGGAGTCCAGGGTTCCTAAATCACGAGTCTCCCATTTAACTCAGCAGCCAGCGCTGTTGCTTTGTTTCTGCCTCTTTAGCTGACGAGTGCTGCACTGGGAAAAGGCAGGCATTAACACCTGGCAATCAATACTTGTGCAATTCGGAGCTCAGAGTGAATGTTTCACACCAGTGGAGGGGAAGAGACAGCCAGGAGAGCGCAGTGAGCATCCATTACCCTGGGAATAGCGGCTCCTCCTGGTGGGAAGGCCCGGGCTCCACAGGTTGGTGTAGCTGTTCAGGGACCACGTTGTTGTGCGGTGCTCATCTCCAAAGTCCAGGAATGTTGGGGTGTTGTTACATATGTACAGCCATGAAAACTGCTCCTGGAAGTTCTTACAGGACATCCTGCAGAGAAGGAGGGAGACCTCATCGTTCAGTTTAAGACAGAAGGACATTGCCAGCAGGTCAGGGAGGGAATCCTGGCCCTCTGCCCAGCCCTGGTGAGGCTCATCTGGAGTGCTGTGTCCTGTTCTGGGCTCCTCAGTACAAGAGAGGTGTGGAGCTGCTGGAGCAGGTCCAGTGGAGGGCTGCAAAGATGATCAAGGGCCTGGAGCTTCTCCCTTCTGAGGGAGCTGGGCCTGTTCAGCCTTGAGAGGGAACCTCATCAGTGTCGGTACCTGAAGGAAGGGTGTCAGAGGCTGGACCAAGCAGTAGGACAAGAGGGAATGGGCAGAAACTGAACCACAGGAAGTTCCACCTGATTATGAGGAAGAATTTCTTTACTGTGCAACTGACCACACACTGGAACACGTTGCCCAGGGAGGGCGTGGAGTCTCCCTCACCGGAGTATTCCACAACCATCTTATCACAATCCTGTGCCACGTGCTCTGGGATGACCCTGCTTGGGCAGGAGGCTGGACCAGGTGACCTGCTGTGGTGCCTGACCCACTCTGTGATTCTATGGAGACACCAGTTAGGTATCCACATTCACCCCATGTCTTCAAAAAAGATTGCTGAGAGCTCTGCTGGCTGCTGCCTTGTAGAAGAGCTCAGCTCTCAATGCATTTTGGGCTGCCCTAACAGCCCCTAATGGCCCAGGGTAAACCACAGGGCACGTTCAGGGGTATCTTGCTGGAGCCCTGCCATCTCCAGCACACCTCTGCCACTGTCCCTTGCCCTTGCACCTCCAGTGTCCTCTCCCACGCTCGTGCTTCACTCAAGCCTCACGTGTGTGTGTCAGACCCACCCGCTGCTGCCCTGCTTTCCTCAGAGCCCACAGGGCAGCTGTGCACTTTCTGAATAATCAGTTTTTCTGGGGGACAGACCACGCATGGCTAAGCTGTATCTGGGGGCAATCAGAGGCAGTGAAAAACCACAAGCACCTGCAGAGCAGTCAAGTGCACAAGCTCAGTGACCTGCTTAGCCAGCTGTCCTCTTCAGGCATATGTCAGTCCAAGGTTCAAACTACACACTTTATGAGGAGAGGTGGTGTGACAAAATGACCAGGTCTCAGAGGGCTGGGTTTTTACTTCTCTCACTTTTCTTTTTTTTTTTTTTTTTCTTTTTTTCATCAGCCTGTCGCTTAATCTTGGCCAATTCTATTTTTCCAGGTCTTGTTTCTTTTTTTTTTTTTTTTCTTTTCTTTTTTTCATCAGCCTGTTGCTTAATCTTGGCCAATTCTATTTTTTCAGGTCTTGTTTCCACTGACACCACAGAGTCAGGACAATCTCCAATTCGCTGTTTGCACACAGCTAACACAGGGTGCCTTGAGCCACCACCAAGAACAGAGAACTGCCAAAATTGCTTTTCCCATAATGAAGGCAAATAGAAAACCCAGTAGACAAAGGATCAATAGGGAAATACCAGAATTCTCCATCATCCTTATTTCTGAGGAGGGCTTCTCTGTATTTAGGCTCAACACGGTCCCACTGAGGAGAGCTGCAAAAAAGAACAAATCAAAAAGATGTGTGGCACATTTTTTCATCTTTGGCTTATTCCTCTAAGCAGCCTGTCAGGCCACGAGGGATCAGGAGGGGTGAACAAACTGCACATTGGAAACAGGACTGTGGGTGATACCTTCATAGCCAAGGCCAACAAATGAAACTCTGTGCTTTGCTGTGCCTGAGCTGCCCAGCCTGGGGTGGGGAATCCTTCCCACTATCCTGGTCACCTGTCCCCGTGCTGGAGAGGTGAGTGAGGCACCAAGCCACAGCACTCTGAAGCAGTGATATTCCACTGACATGTGGAGAGCACATTACCCAGTCAAATGTGTTGTTTCCAAGCAGCATGTTTATAATTAAGTGATAATTGTACTTTCTGCAGAGTTTAAGACAAATAAACAGCACGTGAATCAATAATTTATTGATCTGTGCAGCTTACCTGCGAATGTGCTGCTGACATTTCAATTACACTTAGGGTTGTAGTCCACCCTTCCAAAATGATGGGAGGATGCTGCCTGAGCAGAGAGCTGTTATCCCAGCCCTAGACATGTCCACACAACCCACAACCCTTCCAGATGCAACACTCCAGCCTGACTTTTCTCAGCAGAGTGCCTGTGTGTGGTCCTAGCAACAGGGAGGGGTGGGACGCTATTAAACAACCCAAGAGCGACACAAGAACATCTCTCTAATCATGGAAACACTGATGCAATTCCAAAAGGAAAACTAAGATCTATTTATTTACAAAACACTGTTGCAGCCTATATCATTCCTTTCTTTAGGAAAGAGATGTTAGATTATCCACACAGGCAGCCAAGTGGTCCAAAGCTGCATGAAGGATCCAAAAGATTAGTTCAAGCCGTTCCCTGGCACTTTGCCTCTGGAATAACCAAGGACCCTTTCTGTCCCTCTGTGTTCAATGCTGCCCTGCTCCATGGACTCGTCTAACCATCCTCTTCCCAGAGTCAGACTCATGGGAGCAGAAGAAAGAAGAGGAAGGTGGATGTGTGATTTCTGCAGGAGAATTCAATAGAAGCAGCCAGCCAGCATCTGAGGACGTGGTCAGAGCTTACTCCAGGAAATAAGAGCTCTTTCATCCATGACTTCTGTACAATTATGCACTGGGTAAAATGCATAGACACAGACAAGAAGGGACACCTGAGCATAGCAAGGCTGCATTAGTTTCCCCTGGATTGTCTTTCTGCAGGCAGTTGCTATGCAGATGGAAATAATGCTCATAATTAACTGATTTGGAAATATCTATTTTGTTAAAATGGGTGCAGGACAGAGGTTCTTATAAAAGATTGATTCACTATGACATTAAAGCTTTAAGACCCTACTTATCACTCCAGGGCCCCTTCCACTCCCCATGGCCCCATGGATTCCAGATCCTGATGATATGTTTCCAGCCATTCTTGTAGGGGATCTGTAAAGAGGAAAGAAAAACAAACTTAGTCATAGTTTTTCACAATTGTGATATTCAGTGAAGTGTAATAAAATGGAACTTCCTCTACACCTTAGAGACCAGATTTAACCTCTGATCTCATTTTCCCAGCAGTGAAAAATCAGTGCCTTCTGCTACACTGCAAAGGAATGATGTGTGAGAGAAAACCGCGCCCATTTTGCTTTCCTGAGGATGCTGAATAGCTGACACAGAGAGAGGCAGCAGCATTCCTGTCACACTGCATGAATCCAACAGCCTTGGGAAACTCCAGTGCCTAATTCTGCACATCTGATGCTGTGAGTCAGCAAAGGCAGGGACTTTGAGGAATGAGGTCAGCAGACTGCCTGGAGTGAAAGGCAACGGTGAGCACAGGGCACGGGTGACGAGCAGAACCTGTGGGGCTGCATCTACACCGCTGTGGTTTGCAGCACCTGGGGTTTCTGGTGCTTTCCTCCTTTTGCTGCTACTGATCTAAGTCAGAAGCTATTAACTTTTGCCAGTGAAGCCAAAATGGTGGAAGTGGAAAGGAGAAGCAAACCTTTGTTTTCTGGCTCTCCTGATGCACACAGGCAGTGTTGGAAACAATACCATGGCAGCCTCTTCCCAGGCAAAGGCCCAGCCTGTAATCATTCCCCCTCAGGACAACCCCTTGGATGTCTTGGCGCTTCATTAAGTGGGGCAAAGACTGTTTCTCCTCTCTCACACACCAGGAGCAGCAGGAGGCTGGAACAGCCTGCTTCTCCTCCAGCAGAATCAGGCACCCTTCTGCCCCTGCCCTGCAAAGAGAGAGCTGGGGCCTTCTCTGGAGCTTGGCAACCCCCTTCTTTCCATTTTGTAGCCCCTTGCCTCCAAAAAATAGCATGCTGGCTGTGACGATGGCAGCAAGCATGCCATGGCATGAGAAAACCAACACAGAGAGGGGGATAAGGGAGAAAGTAGCTTAGGGAAAGCAACATCCCCTTTCCAAGGCACTTTTGGTTCCAAGATTCAAAGGTTTTGTAGCTGTCTTGCTTGACAGCATAGCTATTGTCTGGTTTCTTTCTTCACTGTTAACTCTCCCTGTGTGCACTACAGCTTACTGGGCTAAGCCATGTTCTGACTCCTGGCTGTAAAAAATCCTTAATTTCTTTTGATCCATGTGATAAATTGGCTCTCAGATCACCAATATTAATATTCAGCCAGGAGCAGTTCTGCATGAGTACAGCAGCTTTAAAAGATGGAGAAATGCTGTTCTTGAACCAGCGATTTACTTTTCACACAGTGATTTTTGGCAGCTTGTGATTGAGTTGAACAAATGTAGATTTGCATCATATGACAAATCCCACAATTTCAGCCAGTGCTTCTACTTGCATTTGAAACACAAAATAACATTTTAAAAAAGTCAGCATGGAACAAAAATCTCCAGAAATGTTGTATTTGACACACTGGTGTTGTATTGTATTTGGGATGCACTGCTGAAGTGTCCCAAAACAAAAGTAAACTTCAGTTGCATTTTCCATTAGAAAACAACATGGATTGGGATATCCCCCCTCTTTTTGATGCGCCAGAGTCTTTCCATCTCTTGGAATTTGAACCATGTACTTTCAACAATCCCCCCTGAGTGTGGAGCGAATTCACATCTCTCTGACTGGAACAGAGCACTGTAGTGGATCATCAGTACAAGATGTGCAGGCAGGAACAAGTCCCTGACCTTACCTTCACAGCTCCTGTGACGGTGTAGGCATGGCCCTGTACAATGCCATTCCTCAGCTCTATGTTCCTCCTTGACTGCAGAAGGGAGAAAGCACAGCTTTTAGCTCCTGCCACCCCACAAAGACACAGCCACCAGCTCCCAGGACTGTCATTGCCACGGCACTAAACAAAGCCTCGGGTCTGACCACAGCAACTCCTCAGAGACACTCCACAGGAATGTGGCTGTTCCCACTGCAGCCACAAGTGAGCCAGGAAATTTAGCAAAATTGCAAAGTGTAGATCTGTAGATGTACAGATCTACACTTCTTTGCAAGTCCTTCCACGGTGAAAGCTGCTGCAGCTGCGGAACGACCTGGACTGGGTGACTTGCAGTCACACTGGGGAATTCAGAATTTCCCTGCCCCTCACAGCCAGGTCAGCCACCTGAGCTGAGAGAACAGTCCTTGCCTTGTTTGCAGCAGCCAAGCTTCCTATCCTGAGGAAGCAGGCACTGCAGGAGCAGTGTCACACACTTCACTGTCACATGTCACATGCTGTAGGGGAAGCCTCAGAGACATTTCATCAAAGGTGCTTGCTGAATATCACAAAGCCTTTTGCAACTGCCCGGCATTAATACCAGTAAGGCTGCAAGCCACAGTCAGAGAATTGAATCCTTTCACAGAAGAGAGGTGTGTTTTGGCCTTGCCAGAGTTGATCACAAAGTTAGGAAGCCAAAATCAGGCCAGCTGGAAGAGGACACCACTCTACTGCAGTGGAATTAGCCAGGAGAGAAGCTACAGCCCTCTCTGGGACTGAGCAATCCATCTACATCTGCCCAAATGCCTTTACAGTCCTTACCAAATAATCTTATCTACTTTCTGCTGCCAAGATGCCTTGGGGCATCCATAAACTGTAACTATTTTACAGAGTGATTATGGGTTTCCTTTTCCCCTCCAAAGAGCAGCCTTTGTGCAAACCCAGTGAGCCAAGAGAGGCAAGTGACCAGCCCTGTGACTCACCTGGGTTGAGGTGCTGCACCCCATGAGACACCGAGATTTGTCAGCTGCTTTCAGGATCTCCTCCAGATCAGGAGGTGGATCTTTCAATGAAAACTGCACCTGGACTCCACCTGTGAAGTCTACTAAAGCATCTGAAAGGTAGCCTCCATTCAAGTTCTGGTAGGAGCCCTGCAGCCTATGGAAAAATGTTAAAATATATTAAAAAAAATGAAAAAAAGAGAGAGAAGTTAATTAGTCCTTACACTGTTTTCATAAACAATACACAGTGCTTGCTTTAAAAATGAACGTGTGCATCGAGGTGGTGAGCACAGGGGAGCCCAGGGTGTGCAGACATTGTGGCCAGGTAATGAAAGGAAACGTGACTGAAATACTTGGCCAGACACAACACGTGCCCTGTGGAAGGAAGGAGACAAAGGGGGAGCTTTTTCTACACCTTCATCCCCATCTGAGGCAGCAGTCCAGAGCCATTCACAGACAGTGGAATATAATAAGTGCATCTCATGCCAACACAGGTATTTTTGGGAGATGAGCTGCATCTCATCTTGAGGCATCCAGTTTCTTTTTTTCTGAGCAGGAAGGGAGCCAAGGATGACTAGTTCAAATGGATGTTTCAGGTCAAATGGAGCTGAACTGTTAGTTTCTACATCCTACTTGTACAGGACTCTTCACAAAAATGGCCAGTATTCTTTTTGCAAATGAGAAAAAGGAAAAGAGAGGTGAAGGTATTTACCCATGCTTCCAGGGCAAGGCAGAAATGAGTTCTCAGCACTGTTCCCAGTTCACTCTGCTAGAGCACAATAATAGGATAATAATTTAATATTGCCAACACAGTCCTTGTTGTTTTTATCGTGTGGTTTTTATTGAGACAGCAAATAAGCTGGAACATGCTGTAGTTAGAGCAGGTAGAGCATGCTGTTAAACCCCACCATACACACTGTATTTAATGAATGTAATCAAATGAAGTCTGCAGCTAATTGTATTTTGAAGAGTTGTCCTTGTCCTACACTGATGAAAAGAATTTGTCTTGGGCATTGGGGAATAACTTCTCCAATGGGAATCTCATAAACAGCATTGCTTGCAACTTTAATTTAATAGAGGTTTGGTATGCATTGTAATTAAAATCTTATGCAGCAAATTGATACTGAATCCTGAGTCAACTTTTCTGAGATATCTCAGGGCAAAATGCATCCTCTTCCTGAGTCGCTCTCATGCTGCTTTAACATTTGGTTATTCCTGACCAAATCTGCCAAAATTATTATCTCTTTTCTTCATCTCCTCTTCACAGTGCAGTGCAAAAGCTACACCAGCCTCAGGTACCAAGGTCCAGCCCTTCATACCACCCCTAACACAGGACTTTTTCTTCAGCATTTTTAATAGTGAGAAATGGGCAAATGCTAAGGGACCACAATCTGATCCATTCTCTCTCCAGAGGATTAAAAAAAAAAAGTTATCTCTTTATTAGGCATTATTTACCCTGCATACTCTGGGGACCTCAGCTGAGAGTCAGAGCTCCCTGTGAAGTGAGAGCTGATGAGAGAGTCCTAGGAGTGTGTGTGTTGTGCCTGGGCACGTTCTTCAGTCATGCTTCCTCTCATTGCCTGCTCCAAACACCCACATGATCTCTGATTAGTGACTGTAAACACAGGTAATCCGTGCTTGGACTCTGCAGTCTTAAACAGAGGACAGCACAGAAAGGAAAACAGAGACAAAGAAGTTTCCCTGAAAGCAGGAGGACATTCCAGGCCCCTTTGTGTCACCATTGCCCTGATCATTTTGCTTCTCAGGCATTAACATCCCAGAGCTGAACTGGGTGGATTTAGGCTGCCTTTAGGGCTGGGCAGAGTTAGGTCTAACCCAAGGCCAACATCTCCAGTTTATGCTGGCCCCATGTGTGCTGCAGCCAACATAAGCAGAGAACCACAGAGGCATCTGTCAGCCTGGACTCCTTCCTGTGTGCTTTTCTCAAGGCAGAGGGTGAAACCACCCACAGAAAGCATTCAGCACTGGGTGGAAGAACAGACCAGGTGTATTTACTTGGCATATGCTTTTTCCAGCAAGGATGGCCAGAATTCATTTGAAGTTCGGGGGTGTACAGAGAGGTATCTTCCATTTAGGAATGGCAGCCGGTCATCTATCACTACATCCACCCATTCTCCATATTGCCAGAACTGGAAATAAATAAAATAAAAATATATTTTAAAAAGAGAGAGAGAAAATAAAATAACAAGACTCTTTTAAGTACTAATGTCAATGGAAAGAAAAATCCTCCTGAACTAGCACAGGAATTAATCTAAAGCATGGATATGTGCAAGTTCTCCCTGAACTGCCCCAGGCTAATGGTCCCCATTGTTAAACAAGCCACCAGCTGGCTGGATTTCCCAGTGGCAGGGAAAGTCCTTGGGGAGTATAACCAGTCCTGCAATCAGTGGGAGGAGAGGTCCAACACGGGGAGTATGCTAATGTTCTTGGGCAATAGTAAGATTTCAAGAAGATGAAGAATAATCAGCATTCCATGAGGCTCACTCCTCAGCCACACTTGGATTTTTTCCCCACAGCGCAGCTCTTGGCCAGAGAGACTTTGTCAAGATCCAGCCTCTAAATTTCCTTTCCTCCGTGTTTCAATTAAGACTCTGACATGCTGTCATGGATGGAGACAGTGTAGTGACTAAAGACTGTTTTGAGGTGTTATCCATCTCCTTGATGGATGAGAAGGACACAGGCAGTCTCTCCAGCATGTGGACAGAGCAGGTGTTTCTCCAGCTGATCCAGCTGATGAAACTTTTCAAGGGAAAAGACAGGAATAGAGATCTGCGGGGATGAACTAAAGGAGCCATTTCCAGAGTCATTAGCAGATTAATGTAGCTTAGCATGATTCGAAATCATAAGAGGCCAAGCTCTTATTTGCAGTAATGCTAAGGACTCTAGTGGAAGTATGCCAGCAATAGATTTAGTCTAGCACGATTTTATTTCAACAGCTTCGGTCAATGAAAAACCCCAAAATGAGCTGTTCTGCTAGAAAAGCACAAGACCAGATCTGCCCAGCAGCAAAGCAGCTTACAGACTGCTCAGCTGAAAGCAGGTCTGATCCTACTCACATTTCTGCCTCTCCCAGGCCTCTCCCTTCCTACACTAGTGGTTGCAGGAGGCAGCAGGGTTGGAACCTCTAACTTGAGCTCCAGGAGAGATTTGCAGCTTCTGCTTGAATTTGGCTCAAGGAAAATCCTTCCAGTGGCTGTTCTCTGCCTGAAGGAGAGACAGGCAAAAGGACTGTCCAAAAGGAGGTGTTCTTTCAGTCACCTAAGGAGCCCTTCTGCCACCAGCCAACACCCCGGAGCAGGTCTGAATGGAGAAGAGGTGTGACATCCAGCCATGCCTCCCCCAGTGCTTCATGTGCAATACCAACAGGTAAATAAGGAGAACATACAGGACTTGCTGTGGGAATTAATGCAGTCCAAACCCACTGTGTGATGTTTTTCCAAAAGTCAAGCTCCTTGGCCTTGTTTGGTAGGGAGCTCAAGCTTGGAGGCTGTCTGAATGCAGCACTGTGTTTTTCTTCCGCTGGATAAGGACAGCTGCTTTGTCCTGACTGTCACAGACCTTCAGATGGTGGTCTCACCTGAGCTCACAAGGACAGGAAAAGCCAGAGTGGGAAAAAGAAACCTCATGGGAAATCCTAGAGTGATCTGCAAGTACAAGAGTGGCACAGGAGAAGCCATTCTCCTGCTTTCAGAGGGGCTCACTTTTTGGCTTGAGTCTGGCTTCATGAAATTTCTTTATATCCCTTTATGGGATTTAAGTACTGCAGCTGTGAATGTGGTAGTAAATAAGACCAAGAATTGCTATTTAGGCAGGATGCAAAGAGGGAAGTTCTTTGCTTCTGTATTTAGAATAAGCCTTTTAAATCAGGAATTTATTTTCCTGGGCTTAAGAGAAGGAAAAGAAATGGACATTCCCAAGATGACAACAACACATCTAGGGTCCTGCTGGTCAAAGGGGGAATGCTGTGTGGTTGTTTTGCCTCGTTTTTTCCTTCCTGGACAGGGATCTTAGAAAAATCCAGTTCTGAAATTGAGTAAGGAGAAAATCACCTACCAACTAACACCAACCTTTCGTATGGTGTTAAAAATCACTTTTTGGATGTTTCCTGGAACTGAGGTCTTGACCATTTATGGTCTTTAAAGATTTCATCTGTTTCTTCCTGAGAGCAGGGACATTAACACCCAGGGCAGATCCCTCCAGTTGTGAGTTGATGCCCTGTTCAATAACCCCCCGCAGTCCCCTGGAGAACACTTCTGCTTTTTCCCAAGTTGAGGTGCTGCCCCTCACTGTCACAAGGAGTGACACACTCTGCCTCACAGGCACCACAGCTTCTGTGGCAGAGAAAGGGATTCCTATACAAACACGGGACTAACCTAATCCCTGGGGAAATAACATCACTGTAATTATTCCCGAGATAAAAACATTGCCCATCTTAACTACAGCTGATGAAGTGCTTAACACCCTTGACTCTTGCAGCTGAACAGCTCATGCTGTACAGGAACACTGGAGCAGCCCCTTGTGCTCCCGAGAGGCAAGATGCTCCAGCTCCAAAATGGTGGGAAAAAAGTTACAAGCTAATTTTTTTCTATTAGCATATGATATGCCTTGTTTGCGATTCCTCACTGAACTGAGGACTGGTTGCTTAGCCTGTGGATGGCAGTAAAATATCTTTGATGGAATAATTGAAAGGCATTGCAGAGAAGCATTTCCATTCAGAGGAGCTTTCTCAGGGGTTTATTGCTCAAGGAAGGCCAGAAACAGTTGCATTGATTTGCAGATGAGATGACAGGGAAAACATTTTCAAATACTGTAAGGTATTTATACTGCTTAAGATTTAAGGATTGCGCCTAACTAATCTTTTCAAAGCTCCCATGAAAGACAATCTAGCTTGCATCCTTTTAATGTGTTTTAAGCAGACTGGTGTCCCTTCAGCTGGTTTATCTCACACAGTGTGGCAGTGTATGCTGGAAATGGGCCAAGATAGAAACATCTGGTATTCTAAGGAGCAAATGAACAGGGCAAAATTTAGACTGTCCACAAGATAATCCTCTTGGTGCTGCTGCACAAGAGCCTAGGAGGTCAAAGAAGTCCCTCTGCCAGAGCACTTTGTTTTTGTGCTGAACTGCATAAAACAAAAGAGATTTGTGAACTAGGGGGATGAGGAATGGCTGGGTTTATCCAGATTTTCTCCACATCCAGTTTAGCTTCTGGAGTTTAATGGTGCTGCAAGCTCTTCTAATCCCACCAGATATTTGTTTGACTCAGACACAAGCAAGCAGAGCCTGCCAGTTGCTACACGAGTCACCCTCCTGGGAGATTCAGACAATTTTAGGAGTTGGTAGAAAGCGGGATTTACTAAAAAGACTTGTTCCTCTCTCTGAAACAAATCTCTTTTCAAAATATCAAAAGCCTGTTCCTCTGATCTGTCTCCAAGGATTTGTAATTTCCAGCAGTTTCAAGGAGCTAAAAGGGCAAGGTGAAGTGGGGAAAGAGAACACAAGCCCAAATAGATAGTGCAGGTGAGATGACAGCCATAACAGACTGCCCAAATCAAAGCAGCCACCAGAATGTCATCTAAAATATATATGTACACAAATCTACCTGAACAGCTGGTACTGCTGCCTTTACAGTCATAACTTTAAGAAAAGGGCATCAAATTCCCTGAAGTGCAATTGCACCACCTGGAGCAGAAGGAATCATTAAAAAATTCAGAATTTTCTGCAAAGTTCTGAACTGGGAGTCAGCATTGAAGAACCAAAGCATTCAAGGGAGTTGAGATGTAGGGCTGCAGCTTGGACCCCTTTGCAATCCAACCAGCCAAGCTCAAGTGGTACCAACACCACTGGGAATACATACCCGGAAATGAAAAATCCCAGCATAATCTTCCTGGAATCCTTGGTCCTTGGGTAAAACATTTTCCAGAAATTGTTTTCGCAGTGTCAGGGAGCCCAGGGCAGCCAGCATCCAGCAGTCACCTCAGGGGAGGGAAGAATCCAGAGCATCCAGTCAGTTACTTGCTGTTCTGGATCACAGCTGACTCTTCAGAAAGGGAATGGGCTGCAACATCTAAGAACCACCTTGCTAAAAGCAACAACATTCTTCTGTCTCCTTTTCCCCCCTCCAAAATGCTGAAGCACTGCACAGAATTCACCACAATGTCCACTGGGAACCCTGCTGTCACCAGCCACGCTTTTTTACTTTCAGGCTGCTCCTATCTTTTGCAGTCATGTTGAGACTTGCAGTCCAGAACACTCTTTAGGAAACCTTCAGACTTCTCAGTGGAGTGAGAAATGGGAAGGCATTTCTTACTACATGGGAGCAGAGCTGCTCCCAAAGACAAACACGGTCACGGAGCACAAGATGGAACTGCCACAGGGTGCAGATACATACTCTGATACTGGGTAAGTATCGCAGGAGTTGAACAGAAATATCCACAGGAAGAAAACACTGGCAGTCAAGTGAAGGCATTAGGAAGGACAGAAAATTCAGCCCTACAGAAAGTCAGAGTTGTGCCTATTTATCTACTCAACTGTGTTTGACCCTTCTTCCTGAAGCATCTGCCTGATCTCAGCTGGATCTCCGTTTCTAAGCTTGGCCTTACACAGACAGAAGGCAGATGCCAGACAAAAGTAACAAAGATTTGAGCTGCTGCATTTGGGAATCCTGTTAAGTATCTGCAAATATGAGTTGTGTGTGGACTTGTGCCAGTCTAGACTGACCTGCACTGATTGTTTACTGCAGCTGCCATGGTCCACATCTTCCCACCGACCACTTGGAACATGGCAAAGCAGTCACAGGTCACTGCTTTGTGCAGATCTCCTCCAAATCAAGAATATCACCTTACCTATTTCTCCTTGCATGATGTCAAATCTGCTAACTCCATCCATGATCAAATAAGGATTTCTCTGAAGTTCCTGGAGGAAAGAAAATGCAAAGCACAGTGTGAGTACCCAGCCTTTGCCAGCAGTGTGTTCCTGCCCTTTGAAGACCTTGCCTGTCTTTTCCAGGTCTGAAAACTGCTTTTCTTGAGCCCTGATGTTTTGCTGCCTGCCACCAACAAAACCAGAGGAGATACTCAGTTATCTCTTCTTTAATCTGCTCAGACATTCCTAGGGATGGGGACTTGGGGCTGGGTGCTCCCTGAGTTTTCATTTGGGTTTCTCTAATACTACTGACACCTTTCAGAGAGAACTCTGAGCTTGGCAGTGCAATCATGCACTTTTCTGGGGCACTGAGGGCAGAGACACACAGGTCTCCAAGCAAAGTGGAACAGGGTCTACACTTCAGCTCAGCAGTGGGTCTGGGAGCATTTTACACTCTAAGCCTTTTGTGTTTCTATTCAGGTCTGATACAGGTCAGCCTGGGCTGCTTTTCTTCACTGTGGTGAGGAAGATATAGAAAGAGAGCTTAATCTCTGTCTGCAAAATCCCATAGGCCTGGCTGACATTTTTGATTCAGGGAGAATTTTCCTTGAGAGTCTTGCTTGGGCAGTGAAGGGGGAAGCACTTCAGAGCTTGGCTTTGCACACAGAAATGTGAACCATTCTCCCAGCTGTGTCTGCTATTGGCCTGGGATATCTGAGTGCTCAGGAAGGAACAGCCTCACCATCCCCCATGAATTACCCTTGGCACTCTCCATCGTGGTAAGGCTCTGTTTTGAAAGAGCAATCAGCCTGAAATAGGCAAGTCATCACACATGTAAGAAAACAAAGGGATAAAAGGAAGGAAAAAAAGTCCTGGTTAAAAAAATAATAATACAGCAGCCCTTCCCTGAACAGGCCCTGCCATTCCTTCTCCCCAGCTGATGTGACATGCTGCACAAAAACGAGACCAGCTCACAATGTGACTCATGACTTGCACGCTTGTGTGAGCTCAGCATTAGCAAATGTTGTCAGCTTTCTGAAATGGCTCCACAGTGATCAAATCCCTCTAAAAAGTTTCCCTGTCAGGAAAAGATGCAATGCAACATCACTGTTCCAGGCTGGTGGGCAGATCATGCTGCCATAGCACTGCTGATGTGGGGGGAAGCAGCCTCAGCAGGCAAATTCCTGGAGAGATGCTTTCCTACAGCCATCCCACCTACCCCAGGACTTTGGGGATTTGCAGCAAGAGATTTACCCATGGCATGGGAGCAGGCCTAAGACGTGTGGCCACCAGCAGCAGTGGTTGCTCATTGTATAAGGAAGAAGCAGCATTGAGCTCTTTTACCTTCTGCTCTACATCCATCCCAGCCTTATCTTCTCCCTACCTCCATTTCCCACAGCAGTTTGTACCCCTCACCTGGGTGAACTCAAAACTTCCCACAAGCAGGAAAGAGTAAACTGCACGGCAAGGCCTTGAACTTGCCCGTGCTTTTGTGTGTGGCTGACTTGCTAGTAGTCATCCCAGAAAACCAACAGCATAGAGGAATGGCTAATTTTGTTTTCCCCATAATTTCTGAGGGCTTTGAAGTCTGACTTGCCAGAAGCAGGGTGGCTGGGCTACAGTGCATAGCTGCCACAGGGGTAAGCACCATCCAGAATCATGAGCCTGAAAGGAACGGGAAGGCAGCTGTGTCTTTATGGGACCCCCGAGGAAAGGGCCGATGCTGTGCTCCATGCCAGGGTGCTAAAGCTCAGAAGTGCTCTGTGGATCCTGCCAGTGCTGTGGTGGGGACTGGCTCAAAAGGCAGCCCATTAGATGGCTCACCAAATATTCTATTGCCCACCAAGGTGTTCGACTCCCCAGGGAGCAAACAGGGATGAGCTGAGTCATTAAGCAGGTTCCTTGCTGAGAGAAACTGGCAATTTAGTCTAAAACCAGAAAAGATAAAATCTGAAGTCAGCCCTAGCCCTGTGCCTATGCACACAGACATCTCTGTGGCTGGCAGAGGGAACTCTCCAAGTATTCCCCACAGCACATGGAGCTCTGCTTCCAGGAGTCTGCACTCCCCACAGGCACTGGGGCAATCGCTGAGACACAATACAGAGCGTGTTGTTTCCACCAGCCAGGGGAAGGGGCTGCTCAGCAGCTGTCTGGACCCACAGAGGGGCTTCTGACAGAGCACAGAGAGGACATAATTGTGATGGAAGTGCTCTGGAAATCTGGACCTTTTCAACCGTGAGGAAAGGAAGTCTCCAATTAGCTCCTCTTCCTTCAAAGGCAAGAATACAGCAGGCATAAAACACCATATTGTCCATTATTGCAAAACACAGCTAAACACATAGTTACCACTACACCAAATGTGCAAGACTCACTATTTCCTACTGCTCAAATTGCATGACAAAGAGAGGAACCACAGCTTTAACTATATGTCTGTCCAGAAGCAGTGCCCTGTTTCACTGAGAAATGATGAGGCTTTGTGGCATTTTCACCAAGACTTTTCAGTTTTAGCTGGAAGGGGAAGAAGAGGGAGCTCAGGGAGGCACGTGGTCTGTTCTCAGAGTATCTATGAGCCCAGCAGTGAAGGCAACCATATGGGCTGCAAGTCAAGCACTCTGCCTGAGCTCATCCCCCCAGGACAAAGCTCTGATCACTCGCTTTCGCACTGAAGACTTCATTATGTATTCAAAAAGAAAGAGAAGTTCAAGTTCAAACCAGTTCATCCTCTAGAGCATGGTCTTAGCACACAAGTACTGTTCATCTAAAGGGCAAGATAGAGAATTAATCTGAGAGGTGGAAGGAAAGTGTCCTGTACATGCATTTAGCTCTAAATCTCATTTTATAATTGCTTGAAATTTTTAGGGAAGAACAAGTCCCCAGAAGGAGCTGGAGGTGAGTGGTGTAGATGTAGACCACATACAGACATGCAAAGGACACAGTCAAACACTTCTGTGAAAAGCTGGAAGCCTGAGGTGGGATTTCCTAGGCAGTGCAAGCCAGTCTGGCTGAAGGCTGCTCTGGTTGGGTGCTGGCCACTTTCCCCCACATTTCTCCACTGGCCCAGCATGATCCTGAATGCAGGCACAAGGTCACTGAGGGGTAAGAGGCTGGAGATGACTGTTTGCAGAGCCACCTCCTGGTCAGTTCACCTTAACCCTAAAATAAAATCCCAGCCCTGTTTCTGCTCCTGCCACAGGTCCACATCCTTCCCTTCAGCTACCCTTGGGTTGCTCCCCGCTGCTGCTGCAGCTCCACCATCCTTACACATCCTGCCACCGTGAGTAATGGTGCTCCCTGTTCTACACACACAAATTATGACAAATAAAAAGGCTGCTATTTATTGAAAGCCAAACTGTTCTCAGCTGGACAAATGTTAATTCAGCAGCACCGCTGTGCCTCTAATAGTGTTGCTGTGGATTAAGAAATAAACATGGCACCACAGTTCCCTGGGCTGCAGGCCTTGCCCAGCAGCGTGCTGAGGAGGGGTCAGTCACACCACTGCCATACATCCCATAACCACAGGAAACCTCCACAGAAATAAGACATTTGGGATACCAGGGAGGGCAGAACAAAGGACAAAGTTAGCGGAGAGGCTGGAGCACAAGAAGCAGATGAGGGAGCTGGGTTTTTTTAGCCTGAAGAAAAGGAGGCTCAGGGGGGTGATCCATGTCTGCCTGAAAGGAGGTGGTAGCCATGCAGGAGCTACAGAGTCTCTTCTCCCAGGTAACAAGTGACAGAACAAGAGGAGATGGCCTCAGGCTGTGCCAGGGCAGGTTTATGTTGGATATCAGGAAAAATTCATTTACTCAAAGGGTGGCCAAGCATTGGAACAGGCTGCTCACAGAGGTGGTACAGTCACCTCCCTGGAGGTATTGAAATGGCATGGAGATGTGGTACTGGGGGACGTGGTGGCTTGGCAGTGCTGGGTTAATAGTTGAACTCCCTGATTTTAAAGGTCTTTTCCAACCCACACAATATAAACTGTGCTGGGCCACACCAAAGATCTGACATGCAATGGCTCGTCTCCAACAGATCAGAGAGGGAGAGGATAAACGAGCAAGCCAAAATTAATAGGAAAAATCAGACTACTCTCAAGGGGTCTGCTTGCACTGACAGAACTCAATTCCCTGCTTTACAGCAGAATAGCTCAATTCTTAATTGCCTGATTTCAATACAAATGCATTGGTTGCTTATAAAAGCCATGCTCTGCTCCAGTTCTCTTTTGCATTGGAAGAATGAGCTCACCAGACTCCACACAGGCGTGGAGCCCACAGATGTGAAAGCTAAGTCTGCTGGAGGATGGACTGGTGTCAACAACCAGACAAAACCAGAAACCAGCTTAGGTTTTACCTGAAACCTGTTTGCTTTGTGTGGCTCACTGCTAAAACAAAGGAGGCAAAGACAAAGGAGGTGAACAAGAGAAGCAGTCCTATGTACCTGGAGCCTTTGAGAGGCAGTTTCCTTAGAGGTCTTGGAACCTCCCCCTGGGATCATACAGTAAAAGCTGGAAGTGCCACGGTGTTACCAACTACCCTCCAGCCAACACAGCCACATGATCCTGCAGGGAAGCAGGGCAGTGAGCAGACCATCACAGCAGCACTGCTTTGCAATCCAGCCAGGATGCACAAATTCCCTCACACAATCAACTCTCCCCAAAGATCAATGGAGTCGGGAAATACGAGGCAAATAAATATTTTCCATCTTCCAGAAGGACAGATGTAACGGCTGGTGATGCACTGCAGCGTCCCCAGCCCTCAGGAATGATCTCCAAGTCGAGGTCAGGTGCAATCAGCTGAGTAGGCAAGGGCTGAGACGGTGGCAGCCTGGGGATGCTGCTCCCGTTCAATTACCCTGATTGCACACGCACTCTCAGGAAGAACAAGGCGGATTGATTTTGATTTTCATCACGGAGAAACACTGAACAGGATCCAAGAGCCTCCAGGCCCCTGGGAAAGACTGAAGCTGTGACTCCACCACAAACAGCTGGTGAGCAGCTTTAGCTCATGGCAGGGACTGCTGGCCCCAAAGTGACAGACCTGCAGGACACCACTATC